CTTCAGGGCAATAATTCTCCTATCACTGATTGATTCTTTTGGCTCCCATATACATTCATCCTCCCTAACAACTGATAACATATAACTTACTTAATAAGGACAAGAATTCTCTATTGTTTTAAACCTCTTGTCTCAAAAGTTTATTGGCATCCTGCAGTTTTTATGTTATGAGGAACAGTAGTGTTATCTTCTCATCTTCTCCTGCAAAGGTGTGTGGGATTTTTACACACCTTTACTGTGTGTCCCTTCAGTTGTCTCTTTTTCAGGCTGAACAAAAACAGTTGGAAAAATCATCCTGGATAATTGTTCTAGATAATCCTAGAATAATAAAATATCCTAATAAAACTCATGTTTTACTGACTAAATAAAATAATAGTCCCTGTTAGTTTGTGGAAGTCTGTCCTCATACTGGAATTAATCTGGTTTTTTCCTTAAGGAAGGGGATAGGATAGAGCAAATGCTTATCATATCTGCAGATGACAAACATGATAAGAGTGGGAGCACCCTCTGCAGGGCAGAAGTAGAATTCAGAATTATTTTAGCAACCAAGAGATTTAAATTGAGGGAAGATAAGATAATAATAATAACAATAACAATAATAATTTTAAAAATCCATATCTTCACATTTAGGTAGAAACAGTTGTTTGTACAAATCCACTATTAGGGAGATATCTAATGTGATAAATAGAATTAAAGCTAAAAAGTTGAAAAACAAGTCAATAAAGATTTGTAGCAATGAAAAAGACAGCTGTCAGACTATTCTATAGGAAAAGGCAGGTGACCTGGCATGGCTTAAGGTGTATGTTCTCACCTCTATCTGGCTTTGATATAGGACACAACTGGAGTACAGTGTCTGGTATTGATCATCTCCTTTAAAGAATGATGTAAATTATTTTGAGATCCGGGAGAAGTTCAGTAAAAATTATCAAAAACAGAAAGATCGGAAAAAAATGTGAAGCTTTTCCATTTAGAATACCTAAAGGTAAGAGAAAACGTGGTAGAAACTATCAAATAAATAAATATTCATTGCAAGACAATAAGCTTTTCTTCTTGACCACTTGTGGAGACAAATAACAGGGAACAGAACAGATTTAACATAAGAAAAAGGCCTTAAAAAAAGCACTGAGGGCTCACAGAGTAAATCCCTGGCATCAGTTGCCTGAGCATTGTAGAGACAGAGTATTTCTACCACTAGGGTTTTTAAGGACAAATCAAACATCTGTCAGGGGTACTTAGGTCTAATTGATTCTGCTGTGGAACAGAGATGGACTAAGATGACCTCTTGGGATTACTTTCAGTATTCTTTTCTCTCTGTTTTTTTTTTTCTTCTTCTTTCCTCTGGATCTGTTGAATTATAAATGCATTAAATGCTGCTTGGATAGATTATTGATTAATATTTAGTTTCGTTAAAGAATTACATTGAAACTGGAACTGAAAATCTACTTAAAGAAGAAGAATTAAATGTAAGCCGTCTAACCTTGGAAGAAAGCCAGAGAGAAACAAAAGAGAAGTATACAAGATTAAAAAAACAAAAACAAAACTAAAAAAACAGACCAGTTGAACAAGTCACTTACTGATAGACCTTGGTTTAATTTATAACAACCTAACTCTAATGTTCAGTCACTGCACTGTCTAAAAACTCTTTCTCTGCTTTGTAGAAAAGAAAGATGACAAGGTCGAAAGAGCCCTACTCAGCAGTCAGTCAAAACTACTGGGAAGCTCAAGGACAATATGGTAATAACTTATAACTTGGCTGTACTGCTTCTGCAAAGTTTCCACCACTACCTTTAGACAGAAAAGGGATGCTCCTGCCATTGAGTGGCCCTGCAGTCACTTCATGTCAGAGCTGTTTCCTTTCTTGGGGACCAAGAGGAATTGCTTCCCCACTCTGTATTTCTCCCTCCTCGTTGGTAAGAGGGCAAAGATACCTGTCTCAGATGGTTGTTTGAAGTTTTCAAATGAAAGCTGCCACATAACAGAAACTCTTCTCTCTTTGTTTTAAAAAATCCTGTATAAAGCTCTGTTAGCAGTGAAGAGTTTATTACTAACAGGAATGAAATGTGGACCAAACATGATGCTGCAATTGGCCAGTTGAAAAATCGTCCAGAGGCTATGAAGCTGCTGGAATGAGACAAATAGGAGACCAGTGGGAAACCTGACATTGTGAACACTGAGAACTGCAGATGCAAATTAGTGAGTGCATTGAAGCTCAACAGTGTTCCTTCTCGGTATGAAATTCTGTGCTCATTTTTTGTTACACAAAGTACTAGTCGTGGAAGGTGATGAAACGTAAACATCACAGAGCAAACCTGGCCTTTTAAATGAGCCTGTGGGGCTGTGTTCAATTTGGAAGGAGACAAAAGAGGAATATCCAAGGGCAAGGCACCTGCCTGAGGCACAATCAATATCCTGTGTCTGCTGCATTCAGTCGGGGATTGTAGCAAAAGGCTTCCCTGCCACGTGAAGGGGGTCTGGAATGCAGGTGAGATGTGGAATAGGCCTGTGAATGTGGAAGAGATGCTTTTGAAAATATTCTGTGCACCTCTCAGGCCCTTGGCTATCTGATCATATCTGTCTGGAATCAGAGGCTTCCCTCAGGAAAAAAAAAAATTATCTGAGTACTGGTAGAGCTGATCCATCATGAATGAGTCCACCCAATTTTGTGGGAGTGAGGGAGGAAGAGTTTCCCTGCTTGTGGATGACCTGTGCAGCCCTGGCTGTTCTCAGCATCCTCATCCATTTTATTTGGTAGCACAGGCACAGGTGGCTTGTGTTGATTTTGGCATCTGTTAAAATTTGTTCAACAAAGAGAAATGGGTGATGTTGTTGAAAGAAAAGTTGTCTTTTTAAATGTCAGAGGAAATGTCCAGAGGAATACATTAACCTTCATATTTCAATAAGCTAAAACTCATTTCATTCTCCCTGATCTCTCTAGAAACAGTAAAACTCTTTGGAAAATATTTAGAAAACTGTGATAATATTCAGTTTTAATTGTTTTTTTTTTTCACAGAAAAATGTGCAGATAAAAGAAGATATTTTTGCCATGAACTCTGAAGCAGAAAACCAGAAGTCAGCATAGACTGATGATATTTCACAGAAACATGTTAATAACTACTTCAAAAGAAGAAAGGTGATATTTTTAAAGAATATCTTTTAATTCTTATGTCTTTTTTTTTTTTGGCACAGCAATTTACCCCATTTTAACTCTTAATTCTTTGTAGATCTTCTTCTGAAGAGGAGAGCCTTATTCAAAAGATGAATTTCAGTTTTCTGTTGTACTTGTTTAAATAAATATATTTCAGTTACCATGTAAAAATAAAATTGCATTTTGCAAGTAAGACAGTACCATCTTTGAAGTCAAGAGGGGCAAAGTATTAAACCTGTTTTCCAGATATAAAAAAATTTACTATAAAACCAATTTTTTCTGATTTTTTTTTTTGCTAAACTGAGAGTAACCTTTGCTTAAACCTGTACCTTATAATGTTCTTGCTGTTCTTAATTCTGAAATTGAAACTTTCAGTTTGGATAAAGTAACTCTACTAGGGAGAGAAAGATGTGTTGTTGAAGTTGGACATCTGGCATGCAGAATTCATGGACCACAAGGATATTTTGCAGAAATCCAAAGGTAAAGAAGAGCCTAACAACAACTCGCTAGATGTGATGGAAAGTCCCTACCAGTGCCAAAAGATACCAAAAAGACGAAAAAGAAAGTCTTAATAAGCATGAAGAGGGAGGACTTAATGACCAGTAGAGAAGAGACTACTCATTAATAAAGGGACTGATATCATTTAGAACCAATGAACATTCATTTCTTTCTTTCCCAAAAATTAATAGATAGGTGAACACCTGTTGCATTGGTGTCTGTGAGTAAAGTAATGCCTTTCTTTCTAACATTGAAATTGCAGTGTTAGAGGGGTTTATTGTCCCAACAAATTTGGAGGGGTTTTGGTGACAGGTGTACAAATCTGATGAGAAGCATCTGAGAGAACTGGGTGCGTTTAGAATGTGGGAAATGCTGCTCAGGGGGGACTAATTGTTCTGTACAAGCAGCAGCAAGGAAGTGGTGTCCAGGTGGGGGACGGTTTGTTCTCCCAGGGAAGAAGCACTGAGACAAGAGGAAAGGGCCTCAAGTTGCGCCAGGGGAGATTTAGATTGGATCTTAGAAAAACTTCCTTCACCAAAACGGTTCTCAATCTTAGGAACAGACTGCCCAAGGAAAATGGCTGAGTCACCATCGCTGGAGGCATTGAAAAGGCCTTTTGATGTGTCATTTGGGTACATGGTTTATTGGTGGAATAGGCAGTGTAAGCTTTGCAGATGGACTAAGGACTGTATGCGTCTTTCCAACCTCCGTAATTCAGAGATTTAACTTAAACTCAACCAGTGCAGAGTCTGGGCTTGGACTCCAACATCCTCGAGGCTCCCTTGAAACCTGGATATTCCATGTGACTGCCACTGAGGAGCAGCTGATAATAAATCCCAAAGAAAGAAAAAGGGAAGTTCTTGGAAGAAGATCAACTCCAGGGCAGCCTTAACCATTACCCCAGGCCCACTCGGAATTGCTGAGCTGGGGTGGGCATGAAGGGCGGGGCTGGCGCTGCTGTGATGTGATCGGGCTCTTGTGACATCACAGGGGTCGTGTCACAATGGGGGCAGCTCTAGAGGGCCCAGCAGGTAACGCTGCCCCAGTAGAGCCTGGACAATTGGTGAGTGCACACGCAGGGCCGAGGCTGGGCTGCACGAGGGCTGGGGCCGAAACTCTGTCCCTGGGGATGGGTTCTCACTCTCTATGCAGGGGCAATCCCTCACCAGAACACCTTGGGCATACAATGGTGCTGCTGCTCCTGGGGCAGTGGCACAGACCTGGCTACCTCTCAGCTGTTCTGGGGCCCTCTCCTTCCTGCTCCCACATCCCTGCACCTCCCATCCCTACTCCCCTCACCTTTAGCTCCTTCCCTCCCTTTCATCCATACTCAACTCCTTCTCTCTTCCTGCAGACCATGGCTTCCAAAACGTTTCTTTTCGTGCTTTTGCAAACCCTCATCCAGTACCCACAGCTGGTGGGTGATGGGCTGGATGAGGCCACCCGTCTGCGCGTGGAGTTGCGCGCCGAACTCCTGAACAGGGAGATGACTCGGCTGCTGCAGGAGCTGGAGCAGAGCAGCCTGGAGCGCACTCTCAGGGCCTGGGGAGCCCTGCTCTGGGCTGCCTTGCAGCAAGAGAAGTTCTGGGCTCTGGTTGTTGTCCTGGGCCTTCTCTTGGCACTGTGGTTTATGCGCCGGAGAAGGAGCCGCCAGCCAGACAACAACGGCGAGGAGGAGGAGGTGGAAGACAGAGAAGACCATGAAGATTTTGCCCCTGAAGTAGAAGAAGAAGCCACTGTTGAGAATGCCATGAGATGGCTTTTAGTGCAACTGATACCTTGGCCTGTTCAGGATCTGAAGAGAGGTTGCGAGGTGACAAGAGTCCTGATAGACAACTTCACATTTGTCTTTGGGCACATCTTGTCCAACAGTTTCCACCCGGTGCCTCAAAGTGCATTAGGGGTGGGCAGTGCCTTTGAAGGGTGGAGTACCCGGGAGAAGGATGTCGTGTACAGTGTCCTTGTCCCCCTCACTCCTCCCCCGGGGCATGCCTTCCATCTGGAGATGGACACTTCAGGCCAGTTGCCCGGGAGGAACTTCCGTGTCCGCGTGGAGCCGGTGTGCACCTGCACGAGGGAGCAACAGGACGAGAACGTGCTGTGCTTCCTCCACCACCCAGAGGAAGAGCAAAGGAGGAATGAGGAGCCCAGTCTCCTCCACACCCTCTGCTCTGGCTCCTACCTAGACGTGGACAAAACTGCCCGCTGGTTCTACCAGCTGGTGAGAGCAGCCTGGGTGGCTTTGCCTCAGGCACACACTTGGCACTTAGTGCTGCTGCCCTCCAGCCGCTCCTGTAAATTCAAGGTGAGCAGAGGCCGAGAGAGCCTGATGGTTGAGGTGCTGTTTGGAGTGCAAGAAGGCAATTCAGACATCTATGTGAGCAGCCAGCCCACAGAGGCCCTCTTCACCCCAAGCACAATGTGGCCGGAGACCTACGCCGTGGCCGAGATGAAGTTCTTCAGGCACATTGCCCGGCAGGCTCCACCAGACAGCTGGCACCTCAAATGCCTGCAGCTCTTAGCCCATGCTCTGCTGGGCATTGGCTTCTCCACCTACACCCTGAAGACCATTGTCATGCACCTCCTGAACACCATACCCGTGTCACGCTGGGGCAGGAGGCAATTCTTGCGGCGACTGGGAGATGCCCTGGAGTACCTGCACGGCTCCCTGGAGGAGAAACGCCTGGACCACTTTGTTCTGGGCAACCGGACACTGCCTGGGGAGATTATCTTGCCCCCGGATGTCAAAGCTGCTGAGCCACTCAACCTCTTCCATCGCCTGGCACAGGATCCCGATGCCCACACCCAGGCTATGAGGGAGTACCATGAACTGGGAGATCGGATTGAAAGAATTGTCCTCTACGGCCATTGAAAGAGGTCTGCCCATCGAGACCTGTGCTTGTGGGGCTCACAGCTGCAGGCAGACAACCACCTTATACCGCAGGCAAAAGGAGAGGAGGATTTGGGATCCAGAGGGAAGAGAAAACCCTGTGCAGCAGCACTCTGCCATCACCATTCGCCTCTCAACAGTCTGCCCAGCACAGCATCCAGTGATGACCAGGGGGCCTACAAAGATACTTTCATCCTCCTTTCCCCTCACACTCTCATGGTCATTGTGGCCATTTGAGATGGGCCCAGGAATTCTTTCTGGCAGCTCCCGCTGCTCAGGGATCAAGTGAAAGGCATTGCTAATATTCCTAAACTCTCTCTCTCTCCTTGTTCCCTGACGGGACATCAGTCGGTCAGCATTTTGCCAACTCTGTTGGTTCTGACCTGACATTTTTCATATAGAAGTATATATTTTTAATTCATAGATAGATTTTTAATTAATAGAACATATAAAAATAGAGTTCACGTAGTGCACAGATCTATTTAGAAGTTAGTTAAACAATAGTTTTTCAATAGAAATAGAGCACAAATAAATCTCTCCCAGTGTCTCCCCATGTGCCCTTAAGGGACACCCTGAGGTCAGCACTGTACCAAGACTATCTTTCCCAGTCTGGGTCTTAGTTGACCTCAGTTTTCTTACTTATAAAGAAACCTTTTTAAATACTTTTAGCTATTTATAATATATGTTTTAGGGAACCTTTTTGATGATATTTTTAGATAAATGTAGCACCAATAGATCTCTCCTTATGATTCCCGTTACACACCTACCTCCCTGTAGTCACTGCATTTATGACTGGAAATCCAGAAAATGCTTTCTCCTTTCTTCAATAAAGAGTGCTACTCCAGAAATTGATCTGTGCAAGTTTGTATGGAACTCAACCAGGCCTGGAGTCGTGGTAAATCACACTAGCTGTGAGTCTGTGCTCGTGAACACTGGCATTGAGCTCGACCAAACGGAGAGTGCTGAATTGGTTCTCCTCCCAAATTAGGCCTCCTGCCACACGGCCCCTCTGCTCATGGAATCTCAGAATGGCTCGGGCTGAAAGGGACCTCACAATTCATCTGGATCCAACCCCCTGCCATGGGCAGGGACACCTTCCAGCAGATGTGGTTTCTCCAAGCCCCATCCCACCAGGCCTTTAACACTCCCCGGGTTGGGGCATCCACAGCCTCTGGGGTCAACCTGTGCCACTGCCTCACTACCCTGACACTCAAGACTTTCTTCCTACTATCCAAACCAAGCCTGCCCTCTGAAATCTAAAACCATTCCCCCTTGTCCTCTGACTACGTGCCCTTGCAAAAAGTCTCGCCTTATCTCTCTTGTAGGTTCCTTTCAGGTACTGGAAGGCAATAAGGTCACCTGAAAGCCTTCTCTCACCCCAATCCCAATTCTCTCAGCCTTTGCTCATGGCAGAGATGCCCCATTCCACTCATTCCCTTCCTTCTGTTGGCCACACACCCCTGCAGCACTGTGAAAAAGCAATGTCTTGCTTTCTAACACTAAAACTGCAGTGTTAGGGGGTTTTCTTGTCCCAGCGATTTTGGAGAATTTTGGTGACAGGGGAACAAATCTGATGGAAAGCATCAGAGAGAAGTGGGGATTTTTAGCATGGAGAAAAGGAGAGTGAGGGAGGACCTAATGGTCCTCTACAACCACCTGAAAGGAAGTTGTAGCCAATTGAGAGGTTGTTTATTCTCTCTGGGACCCAGCATTAGGATAAGAGATGTCTCAAGCTGCACCAGGAGAGATTTCAATGGGGTCATGGGAAGAAATCCTTCACCAAAACGGTTCTCAACTTTAAAAACATACTGCCCAGGGAAATGGCTGAGTCACCATCCTTGGGGGCATTGTAAGGACCTGTCAATGTGTTATTTGGGTACATGGTTTATTGGTGGAATAGACAGTGTAAGGTTTGCAGATGGACTAAAGATCGTAAGGGCCTTTCCAACCTCCATGACTCAGAGATTTAACCTAAGCTCAACCAGTGTGGAGTCAGGGGTTGGCCTCCAGCATCCTTGAGGCTCCCTTGAAACCTGGATATTCCATGTGACTGCCACTGAAGAGCAGCTGATAATAAATCCCAAAGAAAGAAAAAGGGAAGTTCTTGGAAGAAGATCAACTCCAGGGCAGCCTTAACCATTACACCAGACCCACTTAGAATTGCTGAGCTGGGGTGGGGATGAAGAGCGGGGCTGGCGCT